TCTCATTGTCATAGTGAGGAGTCTATTTCACATTGAATAACACAAACTTTTATACAAGGTGTCTTTAGGAAGGTCATGGACAATTTTTATTATGAAAAACTATGTATGGGTTTTTAAAAACAAAAAAATTTTTGCGAGGGTTTTTACTTTTGGTACTCACATCCTTACAAGGCAATAAATGCCAAACATGGAATTATGTAAGTAATTACAAATTTAAACAGACAGATTTGGGTACAGTGGTGAGTGAGAATACCCACCAGAGAAACAGAGAGACCGAAAGCAAGAAATTACCTCCAGGAGAGATGGCCATACCACAATCCCTTCTCCCTTCTCCTCCTGGGATTTTGGGCATGCACACACATGCACTGTGTATTTTAAGCTGCCAGCTCCTGGACTTGAACCATGGTCAACTATGTGGAAGTCCAGCAGTATAACCATTCCATCTGTTGGTCCTTCAAAAAACTTTTGCACCAAAATAAACTAACCCTGTAATTCCATTTCCCCATGAACTTTTCAAAGTCCTTGCGTTCGTAGCCAGACTCTGTCTTTCTGAAACTTCCATGAATTGGTCTTCATTCTCTCTGGAGAAACATAAATAAATATGAATAATAATTATTAAGTGCCCACCAGATGCCAGGTACTTACATTAAGTCTATACTCTAAAAAAACCCTGAGTTAGTATTATTTTCTTTGGAAAGATGTGGAAAATGAGCCTGAAAGAAGTGTAAGTATCTTATGCAAGATCACAAGATTTAGAAAAACCAGAGTTGTGGGACCAGCAGTTAGCGTAATGGCTATGTCACTGGATTCCCATGTAGTCAACTGCGGTTCGAGTCCCAGACCCGGTGGCTTAAACTCAACGCTGGGCGTATGTGCGTGCGTGCCCAAGATCCCGAGAGGAGATTGGAGGAGAAGGGATTGCGGCATGGCCATCCCCGCTGGGGGGTGATTCCTCGCTTTCTGTCTCTCTGTCTCTCTCTGTCTTCCTGGCAAGCGCACGCACCCTATAGCAAAAACCTCTCCAAAGAAAAAAAAAGAAAAAAAAGAAAAGAGAAAAAGAAAAACCAGCGTTGTCTGACCCTGTATAGCATTTTAGCTAAAAATATATTTGAAAAAAATTCAGCATCTACTCATAATTTTTAAGCCTAATAAAATAATAATAGGTATTTCCTTAATATATGTTATTATGTGTTACTATAATCATTCCATTTTTCTCCTCCAGTACAGTACTCAATAAATTAAATGAGATATTCAATATTTTATTACAAGATAGACATTGCATTGGATGATTTTGCTAATGGAAATGTTCTGAACACTTTTAAGGTAGACTAGGCTAAGCTATGATACTGGGTGAGTTAGGTATATTAAATTAATTTTGACCTACAATATTTTCAACTTACAATGGGTTTATTGTAACAAAACCCCACCATAAGTTAAGGAGCATCTATAGCTAGTAAATTTCTGCAAAAGAAATGTAATAAGGGAAGATTAACTGTCAGATATTAAAACATAATGTTGTGATAATTAACATAGCTTTGTAGTCATATATGAACAGACAGATGAATGGAACAGAAGTCCAGGAGTAGTCACAGATATACCTGTATGTGCTTACACACTTATACATTACATATGCATGTGTATGCATGTGTGTATGTGCATGTGTGAACTCGGTTTATAATAAAAGTGAAATTTCGAATTAATAGAAAAAAATTTTTCAATAATATTCAGGTTTTTTTATTAAGAATTTTATTTTTATTTATTTATTTTTTTTTGAGAGGTTTTTGCTATAGGGCGCGTGCGCTCACCAGACAGACAGAGAGAGACAGAGAGATAGAAAGCGAGAAATCTCCCCCCAGGGGGGATGGACACGCTGCAATCCCTTCTCCTCCATTCTCCTCTCGGGATCTTGGGCACACATGCACACACGCCCGGTGTGAGTTTAAGCCACCGGGTCCAGGACTCGAACCGTGGTTGACTACGTGGGAGTCCAGCGACATAGCCATTATGCTAACTGCTGGTCCCAAGAATTTTATTTTTTTAATGAAAAATTTTTTTAAATTTTTGCCAGAAGGTGCATGCATTCACCAGAGAGACAGAGGGTAGGAAAGGAATAAAGCACCCTCCATGGGGAATGGTCACATTGCAAGCCCTTCTTCTCCAGTTCTCCCTCCTTTTGGGATTCTTGGCACACATCTGGCAATATGGCATGTTTTGCAAGTCATCAGGTCTGGGACTCAAACTGTGTAGTCAGCCAAGGTGCGATCCCACCACCCTAACCACCACTCCATGTCTGATGCTAAGTCTTATATTCTTTCACATGACTTACACAAAATGCATAATGATCAAAGGCTGATTGTGCAAAATATGTGCTCAAAGTCCCAAAAGGAGAATGGAGGAGAAGGGATTGTAGAGTGGCCATCTCCCTTAAGGAGTGCTTTCTCTCCCCCACACACACCCCCGGTGAGTGCACACACTATCGCAAATTAAAAAAAGAAAAAGATTTTAGAAAATAAAATGAAACTATAAATGTTTTAGAAGAAAACATGGGATAATGTTTAAAAAATATCCAAAGTCCATAGTGACACAAAACCCTTAAGAGATTGACAAATTCAGATAAAAGCAGCACATTTCTGCATGGCAAAAAAAAAATTACCTGTGAAATAAAAAAAAAAAAAACAATAACTGGCACAATAAAATATTTTATATTTGCAATCCATCTCACAAAGACCCTCTATAAATCAATAAGCAAAAGACAAGAAAAATAGTGACAATTCAATAGAAAAACATGAATGAAGGATCTGAACAGTTTATAGAAAATACTAAGAATTCTGAAACACAGAAACAAGCTCAATTTTTAATAAAAAATGAAAAATGCAATTAAAGCAATGTGATGACTTTATTTTTTTATTCTTTTTCTTTTCAAAGAATTATTTTATCTAATTTTATTCATTGTCACTATTTTTATTTTATTTTATTTTTAAGTTGACCAGAGAGAGAAAGAAAAAGAGAGAGGGAAAGTGAGAAAGCATGCTGCCAGATCCAGAATTCAAACCATGGTAAACCATGTCGGAGTCCAGTTGCCCTAACAGTCATGCCCTTTGCCAGCCTCTATTTTTTTTAACTTATTGGTTGACAAAACCAAAAGTTTTCTAGCTCACATTGCTGCTATGGCCATGGGGAAACAATTGCTGACATCATTGCCAGTAGATTACACTCAAGTGCAACCTTAATGAAGGCAAATTTGGCAGGAGTTAACAAAATTTCAAACACACAGTCTTAAGAACTAACAAGAGCTCTTGTAAGATATATCCCATGAATATACTATACTTGTGCAAAATTATGTACATAAAAGAATATTCATTGCAGCATTGTTTGTGACAGCAACACATTAGAAACTTATGAAATGTTCAAAATTAGGGAACTGGTTTAATAAACTCAGAATGTCTATATAATAAACATTCATATAATAATGAAGTTTGGGTTTTTTTTGTTTGTTTTGTTTTGTTTTAGTTTCTTACATGTTACAGGGTGCATGCCCTAACCAAAGAGACAAAGAGGGAAAATGAGAAATAACCTCCCCAGGGGAGATGACCACACCAAAACCCCTTCTTTTCCAGTCTTCTCTTGGGATTTTGGTTATACATGCACAAGCACTCCAAGTGTTTTTTAAACAACAGTTTCAGGACTCAAATCACGAAGGCAGTCATGAGGAATCCAGTGTCTTAAACATCACTTCACCTAATAGCTCTATAGATATGGAACTTTCTCCCCAATATAAAGTTTTTTTAAAAAAAATGCAAAGCAATGTGTATCTTATGATCCCGTTTTCTGAGACTAATAGCACATTGATGTATGTGTAGAATATCTGTGAATAAAGACCCAAGAAACCAGTTACATTAGCAATATCTGGGAAGGTGATCGGGAAGGTTGGGAGATAATGGTGGGAGGGAACACTGTAGATCTTTTTATGCTTTTTTAATTGTATGCCTTATGCATGTATTACATACACCCCAAGTTAATTAATTAAATAATAATTTTTAAAGCACAAAGATGAAGTCGATTCACAAAGACATTGAGAAATTGTGTGTTTTTTAATTTTTTACTTTATTGGAACTAGATTTAGGAAGTTGTCAATTTGGCATTTCCATAAAAGAATTAACAGGTTCAAACAAATCAATGTCCATTTAGCTTTTTCTCATTCGAGCTTGTCAGATTTTAGATGTGCAAATTCCATGGGAACAGAGAAAGTATTTGCTTTGACTTGCAATCCGAAATGGGTTGTTGTTTTTTAAAAGTTGATTTCATCTGACATTGTTAAACACTTGAATTGCTGTTAGGTCATCTGTAGCCTAATTAACACTAATTGATCTCTAGATGGCAGGATTATTAATGCAGTTTAATTACTCATTAGAACATCTAAGCTGGGCCAACACTGGAGGTTTGAGGTCCGGAGTGGAAGGTGGGTATCCGGTGGACTCAGAAGCTCCTCTGTTGGATTAGAAGCCTGTTATCACTGTGTGCCCTGACTTTTGTCTCATCTCTCAGAATCTGGCTTTTGAAAGCTATGGTTGGAAAAAAAAAAAAATGCAAGCCATGCACAAGCTTTAATCTTGTGGGAAAACAGAGGGTCAGATTGTAATTGTTGGTTGCTATCGGGAAGAATGTAATTGCTTTGATAACAAGAAAAAAATGTTTCTCAGTGAAATGCCTAAGGGATTATGCTGTTTTTCTCCTCCCAAATCTAAGGTGTAAGCTGCTGCTGTGTTTTTGGCCTAAATTTTACCTCTCTGAGCATAAACAAGCGGACCTCAGCCCTTCCTCTGCCCCCACTTGGCCCAAAAAAGAAATTCTTTTCTTTTTATTGTGGTGTTTTAAAGGGAAGTTTAGATCTTTAAAAAATAAGTTGAAAAATTCTTCTTAAATCTAAATTTATTCCCTAAATGACAAAGTAAACCTTCTCTCACTGTTTTAACTTCTTGTTGTTGCTTATTTGCTTACAGTAAAAGCCGGAGGAATGCGTATTTCCAAAAAACAAGAAATTGGAGTCTTGGAGAGACACACCAAAAAAACAGGATTAGAGAAAACAAGGTAGGTAGTGCTTAATTTTCTCTCCTTTATCACCGCCAGGCATTTTTGGATGGCTCTGTTTTGGGGTATTTTAAGACAAACCAAGGTTCCCTATGCATTTGGAGGCAGTCGGGTCATTGCTGGTGGAGACTTAGTGAGGAGGGGAGGAAAGTGGTTCTCATCTAGAAAGCTCTCCCTGGGCCCCAGTGATGACCCCATCCATTCTCTTCCTTTCTGTGGCCACCAAACCTGACCACACCCTTTATCTTATTTTTAGATTAGCATTTAAAACATTGTCCCTAGGCTGGCCCTTTTCCAAAATATGTTTTCTGCTAAAATAAATCTCTTGAATTAAAAATAAATGCCTTTTAAAAAATTTTCTACATTCACTCAATCATGTAGAAACTAATGGCCACTATATTTGGCATAGCTGGAAAGCATGTGAAACCAAGGTTGGCTTCTCCTTGCTCCTTTGCCATAACCTTGACATAAGGAGCTGTTTTCCCAGAACTAAGCAGAGAGCTGCGGGCTGGACCAGATACATAAATGGTCAGCCACACTCCGCCTTGGTTAAGGGAAATGAGTGCATTTCAAAAAGAAAGAAACAGACACAACTGTTTCCTCCAAGTAGTATAAAACAGGGTGCTTCAGAGACTAGTAATTTCAGATGGTTTCCAGAGATAAGTTGATAAGCAGTTCAAAAGTAGTAGTTGGCTAGAGAGTAGTAAAGCTATCTACTCCTTAGGAATCCTCTTTAAAAACCCAGTTGCTTTTAAATAGTTTTTAATAAACATTTGTTCATTAATTAATTAATTTATTTATTTATTTGGGACCAGCAGTTGGCGTAATGGCTATGTCGCTGGACTCCCATGTAGTCGACCACTGTTCAAGTCCCAGACTGGGTGGCTTAAACTCACGCCTGGCGCGTGTGTGTGGGTGCCCAAGATCTGAGAGGAGAATGGAGGAGAAGGGACTGTGGTGTGGCCATCTTCCCTGAAGGTGATTTATCGCTTTCTGTCTCTCTGTATATATATATATATACACACACACACACACATATCATAGAGTCCTGGCCATGGTAGCACATGCTGGTTAACACTGGTACTTAGCAGGCTGAGGCCACAGGGGAGGCCAGGCCCACTGGCCCATCTTAACAAGCTTGGGCGCAATGGCACATCTATAGTCCCAGCTACTTGGGAGGCTGAAGCATGAAGGCTATGATGTAGCAAAACTCTATCTTAAAAAGTAATAGTAAATCAATTAATATATATCAGAGAAAATGAATTTCTGAGCACCATTAATCTATATCTATTTCCTAATGATTTCTACCAACCGACACAAGCCATCCAGAGGGAAAATGCCAAGTACAGAAGTTTCTTCAAGACATTGCACTATAGACTCGACTCTAAAGGAAACTCCTACAGAATAACTTGGCCTAAGAAAAAGAAGCCCGACAAAGGGATATATGCTATAAATGATTCATTCTGTAGAGTACAAAAACACTCGACTAATCTGTGGGGCTTAAGTCAGGGCAGCGGTTATCTGTTGGGGCAACCAGTTTGAGTAGTGTTTTCAGCTTGTGAAGATTTACCAAGCTATATATTTCTAATATGTGCATTATGCTTCATATTAAAACTTAAAAATAATAATGAGGATAACTTGGCCTTCAAAACTTGCTGTGGCATGTAGGTACACAGAGGCAGTTTAGTCTTCTAGATGTTGCCAAGCAGAGTGAAAGCTTGACAACCCACTGAATAAATCATTTAACCTCTTTATTTATTTATTTATATTTTTATTGTTCTCACACATATAGGCAGCCAAAGGAAGGCAAAGGAAATCAGCATCCCCTGGCCCCCAGAGACTTCAGGCAAGCTGGGTTTTATTCCAAGTTGCTACTTGCCCTGAGAGGGCGAGAGGGCCACTTGGATCATTTGGCCTCTTTAGTGGGCAGGTGTTTAGGTCTTACTTGAAGTTTTGTTTTTTTCATCTTCACAGTGCCATTGCAAACGTTGTCAAAATACAGACGCTGGATGCCCTGAATGACACACTGGACAAGGTGAGCCATGGCCGAGGCAAGTCACACGTGGCTCCATGTCAGGGTCCACCCAGCAGGTCCGGTGTGTGAGTGAACAAGCACGTGACCCCTGAGGGTTTTTCCAAGCCGAGATTTCATGTCCCTGTGATAGAATCTGCTCATGGTCAGAGGAACACAGAGAGGTTGGGTGAGAAAGCCTGTTACTCCCAAATTCCTAGTGTCCATTTAATCAATCATTGCAAAAATAAGACAGAAAATAAAGTGACACTCATGTTGCTGAGTTTGCAGAACGTTACTTTGACATCCCGAATATTTCTCAGCAACCTTGGCAAGTCTTGAGAAAAGGCAGCTGTGTTTTGGGAGGGAATTCAGTAGTTTGGGGATTTCCTCCCTGCCCGAACAATGCCATAAGGAAATGTTTGATCTGAGGTAGGGTGGCTGGTGGAGCATGCACAGTTAAGGGCTAGAGGAAGGTGGGACACCAGTTGGGATTATCTAGTAAACTCTGTTTATAAATATAATTGGCTATTGCTATTTTTAATTCTATATCCTGAATTTCTAAGCAGCTCCAGAAACTAAGAAAACTCTTACCAGGTGGGCACTGATCAGATTCAATGGGCTTTTTGGAGAGGTTTTTGCTATCAGGCGCGTGCGCTCGCCAGAAAGTCAGAGAGAGACAGAGAGGCAGAAAGCGAGAAATTACCCGCCAGGGGGGATGGCCACGCCGCAATCCCTTCTCCATTCTCCTCTTGGGATCTTGGGCACACACACACATGCGCCAGGCATAAGTTTAAGTCACCGGGTCTGAGACTTGAACTGTGATCGACTACATGGGAGTCCAGCAACGTAGGCATTACGCCAACTGCAGGTCCCCAGATTAAGTAGTTTGTCTTTAGCTTTGATGGGTAAGCTAGGTGAGAGCTCTTGTTCTATTTCTAGGAGGTAGGAACACTACATTCAAGGAAATGAATCATTCTTTCTGCTATTTTCACGTTTCCCAAAGAAGCAAAAGTGGGCATGCTCTGTAGAAGAAAGCCTTGCTTTACCGCCAAGTTCAGAGCTATAAGGCCTATCAGATCAACCTCTGAAAAAGATGGGAGCAGAGGACCAGCCATGGTGGCACACAGATGGCACTCCCATTTGAAGGATGAAGGTCACAAGGGAGGTTTCCAGAAAACCTGAATGTTCAGAGCATGGTTGAACATGCCTGTAATCCTAGCTAATTGGGAGGATTGCAGCACAGGGAGATCCTGTCAAAAGATGATCTGGGGACCAGCCGGTGGTGTGGTGGTTAAGGACGCTGGAGTCCCACATGGTAGACCACAGTTCGAGTTCTGGACCTAGTGACTTGCATTCTCTTCTCTCTTATTCTTGCTCTGTACCTCTCTGGTCAAATTAAAATAAATAAATAAAGTTAAATAAAATTATTAAAAAAAAAATAGATGATCTGTCTTGGAACCAGCAGATGGTGTAATGGTTACATCGCTGGACTCCCTTACAGTCAACTGCAGTTTGAGTCCTGGATCTGGCAGTTTAAAACTAATCTCAAGAGGAGAATGGAAGAAAAGGGATTCCAGTATGGTCAATCCCCCCCGGGATGGGGGGGTGATTTCTCGCTTTCTCTCTCTCTGTCTCTCTCTCTCTCTGGCAAACACACATACCCTATAGCAAAGTCATCTCAAAAAAAAAAAAAAAAGATGATCTGTCTCTCTGCCTCTCAAGAGATCTCTGTCTTTCTCCATTTTTTCTCTCCTCTTTCTGTATGTGTTTCTTTCATGAAAAATGAAAAAGAGAAAGGAGGAGAGGAGGGCAGAAATTGCATGATTGGCTTCTGAAACCCCCATTGGCACCAGTGCCAGCACTTGCTATCTCTATGACCTTGAGCAAGTTTCTCACCAGTGCTACAAGTTCATCTGTGAACTGGAGTGCGTAGCTTGTAGGGTTGTTGTGTGGAGTAAAGAGCTCAAGTTCTTCGCACAGTGCTCTGCACAGTCATCTCCTTATATTCTCTTTTAGGGTTAAGAGCACTGGTTTCTATATAAGTGAGGTGAAAAGCTAAGTCTAGAATCCATAATGTTGCAGGGCAGATTCAACAAGGCAAGGTCTTGATGATGAGCTAAAGCTACAGACCCTGCCAATGTGGGTGGCTCGGTTCTCCTACTCATGCAGACGTGGAGGAGGTCATACGGGACTCTACCTTCCTGACTTCAGAAGAGAGGCTAATGGATGATATCCTGTCAGGGTAACACAAGCTGCCCCTCTGCGTCTTACATTCTCTCGCTCTTGCCCACTAATCTCTTCTTCAGGGCAAGAAAATGCCATGGTCATACATAGAACTGCATAGAATAGACATGTTCCTCCTAGGATACTTGTTCATTCAAAATAAAATATTTGAAAGGAGTGGTCAATTAAAGATTGACATGCTATATGTCACCAAGAGGCCAGAGTCTATGTTGTTTTTATAGACATATGTAAGGGCACTTCAAAAAGTTTATGGAGGGGCTAGCAGATGGTATAGCCGTTAACATAAATGGGCTCCTGCATGGCCAACCACAGTTAGAGTCCCAGACCCAGTGACTTAAAACTCACACCATGTGTACATGTGTACCCAAGATCCCAGGAGGAAAATGGAGGAAAAGGGATTGAGGCATGGCCATCCCTCCTGGGGAGTGCTTTCTTACTTTCCCTCTTTCTCCAGCAAGGACATGCTACCTAGAGGAAATAAAATTAAAAAACAAACAAACAAAGAAAAACTTACTTTTGGGAACCAGCAGTTAGCGTAATGGCTATGTCGCTGGACTCCCACGTAGTCGACCGCGGTTCGTGTCCCGGACCCGGTGGCTTAAAACTCACGCCGGGCGCGTGTGCGTGCGTGCCCAAGATCCCGAGAGGAGAATGGAGGAGAAGGGATTGCGGCGTGACCATCCCCCCGGGGAGTGATTTCTCGCTTTCTGTCTCTATGTCTCTCTCTGTCTGTCTGGCGAGCGCACGCGCCCTACAGTGAAAATCTCTCCAAAAAAAAAAAAAGAAAAAACTTACTTTTTAAATCTCAAAAATGAAAATAAGTGGGGCTATCTGGTGGCATAGTGGTTAAGGGCACTGGACTCCCACATGGCTGACCGCAGTTCAAGTCCCGGACCTGGCAGCCGCTTGCTTTCACTTTCTCTCTCTCTCTCTCTCTCTCTCTCTCTCTCTCTGCCTGTCCCTCTCGGGTCAAATAAAAATAAGTAAATGAATAAATAAAGTTAATAAAATAATTCTTTAAAAAATGAATAATCTTTCCCCCAAATAACAATAATAAAAAATAGTAATAAGTTATATTTGCAAACTGTAAGAGAACACTGAGACGGTGTATGATTATAAATATTTTTAATAGCAACTATATATATATTTTTTAAATAAATTAAAAAAAAAACTTTAATGCTCAGCTCAGTGTTTCCTGAAGTAGGATTGTGGCTAACATTGCACAGTGTACTGGTTAAGAGAGCAGGTGCCATCATCTGCCATAGACTACCCAGTTTCTGTGCTGACTCTGTCACTTTATAATTGGTGTCCTTGGGCAGGTGTCTTCACTTTTTTGTGCTTCTCTTTCCTCATGTAAATGGTGTTGACAGAAAAAAACTAACTCTAAAAAATTAATAATAATGTGGTTTATTTTCAAGCAGAATATGAGTGACTCGGGCCCAGAGAGGAGGCAAACATGTCTTTCTCAGGGTGATCAGGTATAAGGTTTTTGTTTTTTATTTCCATTTAATTTTGAGAGTGACAGACAAAATTAGTGAAGAGATTTCTATTGGTCTGGCCCCAAAAGGTGGGACATGTGGAAGCAGGAGCTTATATGTTATAGGTGGGTTTTATAATTTTTAGGTTGGTGATGGAAAGGGAAGTTCTGTGTCTTGGGAATAGATAAGTGAAAGAATACACTGTAATTGGTAGAGTATATATCTCAAAGACACTATGCCAGGGACAAGATGTAGGAAGAATCTTGTTCATGGAAAAAATGTCTGTTAATGTTTGTGGGAGTGACTCCCCCTAGGCTGTCTGGAAAGGACTTCAGAAAATAGGAAAAAGTAATCAGACTTCTGTCCACAATGGGAATGTGGTTAATAGTTTCTACTTAACAGGGATATCCTGAGGCTGAAAGGAAGTTATGTATCTGTGCAAGGTACTCAGTACTGTTGACCTTAGTGAGTGTTAGCTCTAGTCCCAGGCATGGGTCCTTCTACCACTTGGAATTCCAAGTAAAGGATAAGGAGCTGGTTGGAGCCAGCAGGTGGCATGGTGGTTAAGGCACTGGATTCCCACATGGCAGACTGTGGTTCAAGTCTCAGACTGGTAGACTTGCCTTCTCAATTTGTCTCTCTCTTCTTTCTCTCTCTCTCTCTCTGTCTCTCTGTCTTATGTATAGTACATGTGCTGTATAACAAGTATATAGATAGATAGATGATGGATAGATAAAAAATTAAATAAATAATTCTTAAAAAAAAAAAAGGATAAAGATCCAGCAACAGAAATAAATTTCAAATTGCCATAAGTGACTAAGATATGGACATTGGTGGAATACAACTAAGAAAAATACCCCCAAAATCCATAATTTGACTTGAAGCACAGCAGGATTGCGTAATAAAGGTCAATCTGGGTTTGAGATGTGCTGACCGCTAGATCTGCTGAGATCAGTGGTTGTTGGGACTGCGAGTGAGAGGAGATGTTGAGCACAGAGTGTCAGGAGACAATTTTGCAAGTTGATGGAACAGTTCTATATCTTGATTGTGGTGACAGTCACAGATTGTATGCACTTGTCAAAACTTATTAAGCACGGGAACCAGCAGTTAGCGTAATGGCTATGTCGCTGGACTCCCACGTGGTCGACCGTGGTTCGTGTCCCGGACCTGGTGGCTTAAAACTCACACCGGGCGCGTGTGCGTGCGTGCCCAAGATCCCGAGAGGAGAATGGAGGAGAAGGGATTGTGGCATGACCATCCCCCCTGGGGGGTGATTTCTCGCTTTCTGTCTCTATGTCT